CGGGGGACGGGAGTCGGGTCCGGGCGCGCCTTCCGGCTGCGCGCAGAGCTGCGGGGACCCGGGTCCGAATGCGGGCTGAGCTCGGAAAAGCTGTGCCCAGAGCCGGAGCCAGTTCGGGGACGCGATCCTGAGGGCAATCCCAAGAGGTAAATATCCTTCTTCTCCAGTCCCTCCTCTTCCTAAGCCCCCGCCCCTCCTCGGCGGTGATCGGGGGATTCGCAGCCAGTTCCCCAAGGTGGGCAGCCATGGAGAGTGCAGGTCTGGGGGGTCCCTGTGCAAAGGTGCCTTTCAGACTTGCTCCGTGGAGCTCCGTGCAATGTATGTTCGAACTACCCCCCTTATTGTGCCCGACTCCCTGAATATTTGCCTGCGTTAAGGGAAGTTTTCTGCAGAGAGTGCCTGCTGGCTGGTCTTGTGGCCAGGCTGCTGGAAGGTGAGCAAGGGGGCCCGGTGTGCTCCCCTGAGCCGCAGTGGGCTGGAGTGCGCGACTCCAGGGGTGGGGTGTGGTGGAGGAAAAGAGTACCACACCCTCTTCTTTTTCTCCCTTCCTTTCCACCTGAGGGTGAAGTCTCATCGCCTAGTATTGTGCTGATTTCCTTTCCCAAGGGACTGGCTCTGAGAATAGAGCAAAGCTGCTAAAAGACTTGGAGGGAGAGAGAAAGATGAGAAGGAGTCATTGCCAGAACGTCAGGCCAGGAAGGAGGGTGAAGTTAAGCGTGTGTGTGTGTGTGTGTGTGTGTATGTCTACGTGTGGGGGGGGGGGGGGGGGGGGGGGGGGGCAGGAGAGTGCTGTGTAATAGCCTTGGAGTTCAGATTATTTGATGAAGTCTGATTCATTTCACATTTCACAGTCTTTGATATAATTCTTGCTCAAGCCACTAAAAAAAGTCATTTCTGCTAGGCATTGCCTTGGGTACTGGGTGGGGGGGAGGCACTGACTATGTTTGATGATTGTGCCTACCCCCCCTCCCTTCCCCCCCCCCCCCGAAAAATGAGTGGGTATTGTATGTTCTGGGTGTGATTACACCGTGTCTGCCGGGCAGCTGGCGATGTATTTTCTTAGTGTGTTGTGTTTGTGCATAGAATCTGTGGTCATTTCACACTCGGTGTCGCAGTTTTAGAGTCCTCTAAAGGTGGCTCTTAACGAACAAGACTTGTGATGTTAAACCTCCTGCAGAATAATACTGAATAAGACAGAAAATATGATGGAGTGTGGAATATTCTGGGAATACTGAATAAAAGCCGAGATTCAGCATTTGGGAAATACTGGGCCACATACTGAAAGCGTGAAAAATATTTGTCAGATATGGGAAGTGGTGGTTAGCATTTTAAAGAAGGGGATATTCTTCAGTGTACTATCATGACCATCCAGTGGTATGTATCACTTCCAATACAGTTCAGAGTGTGAGGCAGAAAAAAAAATGAAGCACATCCTGCTGAGAACCAGTAAAATGTTTTGTGAGACAGAGGCTGGCAGGTATTTCACCTTAAGAATTTAAATGGAATGGATTGTGTATTGATGATGACTGAAGTGGTTTGATGATCACTGATGTGTAGGGCATCCATTATATTTGATTAATAAGTTAATGTTATATATTAAGTGTAACTTAGTGGAACTGGAATCAGGCCAATTGACTGATGTTTTTTTTTTCATCCCAGAATAACATATAGCATGATTTCCAGGAAGGTTTATATAAAGTTTGTCATTCACATATTACATTGGATAGAACTCTATGGAGAAGGCAAGAATAAATATCTTGCTGAAATATCAAAAAGGATGGCTTATATTCTTAAAAAAGACTATTTTACAAAGTTTATTGTGACTAAATAATTTTAATTGTCTAAATATAGTTATCAGCATGCATGGCACAAATTATTTATTTGTTGAAATGAATTAACCATGGTAAATACATAGAAAGCTCAGTGTTGTTTTGCGTGTGTGTGTGTGTGTGTGTGTGTGTGTGTGTGTGTTTCTGAAAGACACCTCTGATACCAGAGGAAGATCTGCTAGTATTAAGAATCTGTGTATATGATGCATATGAGTGGTGCATATGAGGTATTGTGTTTCTTGACAGTTAATTGATTAAACTAGTGAGGCTGGTTTGTAACTTCAAATCCAGTTTTACGGTTCCATCTCGGAAGCATTTCTTTCTCTAATAGATGTGATTTTCAAAGAGGCCAAACACTGGGATGCCCCAGGGATGCCATAGACCTGAAAACCCTGTGAGTCCTCTGAAACTTCAGGTCAGGAATGAGAAGTGATAGGATGTTGTCACAAATTAATTGGTTTGATGCTTCAATTAAAAACTGATTATTATCTGGCTCTGGTAGTCATTATGGTTGATTTCATTTGGTCTCTAGATATTCTGTGAAAGGACTCTAGGTGGAAATGTTTTCCTGTAGTACAAGGAGAGGTCACTATATGCAAAAAGGCTTGTCAGTTACCCATTCTCCAATTTGGTTGCAATTTACCCATAGGCATGATGCTAGATTTTTTTTTTTTAAAAAATCAGTTTTCTGAATTTGCATGAATGTTTCCCTCTTTATCATAGCTCTCAACCTCTAGATACTTCATTTATAATTTTGATGAAGAAATATGTCACCAAGCCCCTTCCATTTATGGTTTAGGGGCTACATTGATGTTAACAACTTTAAGAACTATTCAGTCATACAAGATCATATTTCCTGAAAGAAAATCAATTGAGCTTTAAAAAGAGGTTTGATAGGGAAATAAAAGGAGATTAGGAGGGACAGGTTAAATACCAAGCAGAAGGTTTACCCATCTGACTGCATGTATGATTTCTTCCTTCAGCAACCATTTTTTAAATAATGAAAACATTTTTCTATTATTTCCATCCTCCCCTTTTCTCTTCCTTCTTTCCTTCATTCCTTCTTCCCCTGCCCCTTCCTCCTATCTTTCCTTACTTTATTTTCTGTCTCTTTTGGTTAAACTATTTCCTTCAGGAGGAAATTCATGGCAATAGAAAGTTAACAGCTGTGAGTACTCCAAACACATAATCTATTCTTGTATTGTTATTTATTAAGTATCTTATTGTTTTCCATATTAACAGCTGTAACCTACTTTTGCCCACCTTATATAGTTAGTTATTTTATAATTATCAGTCCATAATGTAATTTTACATGGGAGTTACTCTTAAAGTATTGATTATTTCATTTATTTTAAAATTTTATACAAAAGAAACCCACTAGAAAGTGGGGTTGATACTTTAGTGAATGAGTCATCAGTTGCTCTTTACCTCTTACACCAGTGGTGCTCAACCTTCTGGCCCTTTAAATACAGTTCCTCATGTTGTGACCCAACCATAAAATTATTTTCGTTGCTACTTCATAACTGTAATGTTGCTACTGTTATGAATCGTAATGTAAATATCTGATATGCAGGATGGTCTTAGGCGACCCCTGTGAAAGGTTCGTTCGACCGCCAAAGGGGTCGCGACCCACAGATTGAGAACCGCTGTCTTACACTGTGGATGCCTGCTGTGTCTTGTTGCATCTCCACGGGCCTTGGTTTCTGGGGAGCACACAAGCATGGATAGCAGTCACTGGAGAGAGGGGGGCTGCCTCGACACAAGGTGCATTTGTGCTTTGAGTGACTTATTTCCATATAGTTACTACTCTCCATGTGCCTTATGGTCCACATAATGAAACCTGAAATGTTCACATTGAGCAAGTAGTTGAGCCACACTTGTCAGTGTGGAACTGCTCAGAAATTAGTAACCCATTTTAGGAAACCTTAACTCCATCTGAGTCTTTGGCAAATGTAACTACTGTTTAAATATCACTCAACAAATACAATTGCTAAACTGTTCTTAAAAGTCCTCAGAGAGAAAATCTAGTGACCAAAAATCTCCCACGAGAAACTAATTCAGTACCACTGGGAGGCAGCATGAATGAGTAGGAAAAGCACTGAATTTGGTATCAGAAGACGGGAATTCTCCTCTGGCTGTTATGACTAATGGTGGGTGTCACTTTTGAAAAGCTCTCTTATTTTTCTAAGGCTCTGTGTTGAATTCTGTAAAATGGGGAAATTTAATATCTACCCACTCTCTTTTTATGTTTAAAATGTGACCACACCTAGATTTAAGCTTTGGAAAAATAAAAATCTTTCAGGTTCCAACCAAGTACGTGTCAGGCATTATAACACTCGATAAAGAAGTACTTGAAATATTTTTAAAGAATACTTATAAGACTTCCAGAACATGGATTTTTATATGCACTTGATAGGAGGAACTTTTTTCTGGAGGAGCTATTAGCAAGTGTCATGGAAGATTTAAATTAATATATACCTATGTGAGATGATCTTTTCAATGTTATTAATATGGTACAAATTGTGTGATGCTTAC